AATCAACCTGTTGATGGCAAAATCCAAGGTCGCACCTGTCAAGCAGGTGTCGTTACCTCGCTTGGAACTCTGTGCAGCAGCTCTACTTACCACTCATGCTCCACGTGCGCTCTACTCTCGGTTGACAGCGACGCCAGTGCATCTGTGGTCAGATTCAAAGGTCACGCTCCACTGGATTCAAGGACACAGCACCCGCTGGAAACCTTTTGTCGCCAATCGAGTGTCTCAGATCAGACCCTGCTGCCAGACGCTCAATGGGGACATCGCTGGACGAGAGAATCCTGCAGATTGTGCATCACGCGGTGTTACTCCTGACGAAACTCATATAGCATAAACTGTGGTGGACAGGGACCTACCTGGCTGTCAGGAGACGAGACTGCATGGCCTTGTTCCGTCATCGAAGCCGCAGAGGATGACCTCCCGGAGCAGCGAGCCACCAGTTTTGGTGGTCAAGGCACCGATCACGGCCGAACCTGACCTCCTCCTCCGGTTCCGGAGCAAAGGCTGCTGCGAGTTACTGCATGGTGTCGGCGATGGCTCAATCCGAGCGGCAGACGCGACGTCATACTTGGCCGCAATTTGCATCCGGACGAGCTGGACTTCGCCTTATTTCGATGGCTGCGAGTGGTGCAGGCGCTCCACTTTCCTACGGACGTAGCTGCGGCCTCTGCTGGACGCACTAGTCCACCGCGAAGCCCACCTAGCGAGGGTTGAGTCCGGTCCTCGATGATCAAGGCGTGCTGCGCGTCGGAGGACGTCTCAAGCATGCTCAGCTACCACTCGACGAAAGACATCCAATGATCATCCCGGCGGCATCATGGTTGACTCGGCTGGTGATTGATTCCTGCCACCCGGACACTGCACGGAGGTGTGGTGTGCAACTGACTCTGCTTGCTCCGCCTGCGTTTGGGGTGCCCCGAGGAAGGACCACCGTCAAACAGCAGCTACACCGATGCGTGACCTGCACTCGATGGCGCGCCGCAACACCACAGCCTCCGATGGGTAACCTTCCTCGGGACCGAGTAACGCCAACTCGACCGTTCCTCAGCACCGGTTTGGACTACGCGGGGACCAATCCTCCTCCGGACCAGCAAGGGGCGTGGACACCGTGCGCACAAGGGATACATCGCCGTCTTCGTCTGCTTCTGGTCGAAGGCCATTCACTTAGAAGTTGTCTCGGACTACACCTCGGAGGCCTTCATCGCCGCGCTGCGCCGCTTCATCTCCCGCCGGGGTTTGTGCGCTGAGATTTACAGCGACTGCGGCACGACTTTCATCGGGGCAGATCGGACGCTGCGAGGTCTCTTTAACGCAGCGACAGCCGAAGGTTCAAAGTGTCATGTCATCCTTGCCGCCACCGCTCAAGGAATCCGCTGGCACTTCAACCCGCCAGCGGCCCCGCCTTTGGTGGTTTGTGGGAGGCCCGCCGTAAAGTCGACCAAGTTTCACCTCCGTCGGGTGATCGGCGAGACCACCCTCACGTTCGAGGAGTTGAGCACACTCCTCGCCCAGATCGAAGCTTGTCTGAATTCACGTCCGTTACAGGCACTCTCAGATGATCCAGAGGACGTCTCGGCGCTGACCCCCGGTCACTTCCTCGTTGGGGCACCGCTCCTCGCCTTGCCGGAACCGTCATTGACAGAGCAGACGGTGTCCACCTTGTCACGTTGGCGTCATCTGCAGCGGATGAGGGATCACTTCTGGCAGCGATGGTCATCCGAATACGTGCACGGACTCGCCCCACGCACCAAGTGGCTCAAGGATGCACCTGCACCCCACGTCGGCGATCTCTGTCTCGTGCGCTCCGAATCACCCCTCCGAGCCGATGGCCTCTCGCTCGCATATTGCGTTTGCACCCGGAGACGACGGAATTACACGCGTCGTGACCATCCGAACGGCCACGTCCGAGCTCGTGCGCCCACTCGTCAAGCTCGTGTTTTCTTCCGGGCGTGAACGACGCGCCTACACCGCACATTGACACATAGCATCACTCACTACACAATCATCACATCATGCACCATATCAATTGTCACACATCACTTGTTTCGCTCACCACCGCACTAAAACTTGTCTCATTTTCACCGCTCACTGCATCTCACACTCGCCGTTCACATCTGCCACATGTTTTCGCCGTTCCAGCTGATCGATTCACATCACGCGATCACCACGTGTTTTCGTCGACTCAGCTGATCGATTCGCAACACGCGATCATCACGTGAATTTCGCCGCGCCGACGCGAGCCCGCCCACCATCAATCACCATCGGAATGTGATCCGCGCCGAAATCATCATCACCATTTGTCACGTTGCGACAAGGCGGGCGGGATGTTTGAGATGCAAAATAATTCTTATCGCCAGTTAAATTATTTCGGCAGTAAAATGTAATTAGGATTTTCATATATTATACGTTTTCAGTCGAGACAAGGTTCGATCTCGAAAATAGTTATTGTTAAATTCTAGAATCTTCGATCGGCAATAATAAAGTCACATTTGTTTGTAATGGAATAAAAAAGAGTCGTAAATTGACAGCTGTTATAAAAAACGCTCAAATACACAAACAAGTAACGGTTGTCGCAACCGTTCCGCCGAATAATTATATGCTATTGAGCATGCGCCACTTTAAAATCACGCAAAATTATTGGCGCTTCACGCGAGGGTGGGCTCCTCTCCGAAAATGATAAAAGAGGAGCTCACACCCGGTTTGCGGTCTTATCGCTTTCCGCCGTTTACGCATAAGAGTAAACCGCTTAGAAAAACCGCAGAACAAAAAATCGACGTACCATCGCCTTTTCTTTTGATTTCTATTGTCCGCTCTCTCTGTTTGGGAAACTCTCTGACGTTTGAATTCTCGCGTTTATTCGCCTCCGCGAGTGACGCGTAGCGCGCCGGAAAAGAGGCGCTACGAGAGGCCGTTTGCTTTAAGACGAACGCTTGACGCTATCCTTTCCTTGGTCGTCCCGCTAAGCCGAGTCGGCTTCTGTTCGCGATCCTATTCTTAATTAAAAGGATTCGACAAGGTAACAAGTCTTTAAGACTGGCCTAGCCAGGATTCTATTAAGACTGGCCTAGCCAGGATTCTTTCAAGACTGGCCTAGCCAGGATTCTATTAAGACTGGCTAGCCAGGATTCTTTCACGACTGGCCTAGCCAGGATTCTATTAAGACTGGCCTAGCCAGGATTCTTTCAAGACTGGCCTAGCCAGATTCTATTAAGACTCGCCTAGCCAGGATTCTTTCAAGACTGGCTTAGCCAGGATTCTATTAAGACTGGCCTAGCCAGGATTCTTTCAAGACTGGCCTAGCCAGGATTCTATTAAGACTGGCCTAGCCAGGATTCTTTCAAGACTGGCCTAGCCAGGATTCTATTAAGATTGGCCTAGCCAGGATACTAAAGTCATTCACATCTATTTAACGTATTGAATCTATTCGCTGCTACGATACCTTTTGTCTGGTTTAACGTACTAATTTTATATGTTTATAAAATACTAACGTCACTTATGGTTGTTGATCTCACCAAGACTTATGTTTGGCTTGACGTCTTGATTTATATGTGTTTAATACTTATGTTTGGCTTGACGTCTTGATTTATATGTGATTTATATAACTCATGTTTTGATTTGACGTCTTGATTTATATGTGTTTAATACTTATGTTTGACTTGACGTCTTGATTTATATGTGTTTAATACTTATGTTTGACTTGACGTCTTGATTTATATATGTTTAATTCTCAAGTTTGATTTGACGTCTTGATTTATATATGTTTAATACTGTTGTTTGATTTGACGCCTTGCTTTTTTATGTGTTTAATACTTATGTTTGGTTTGACGTCTTGATTTAAATTAGTTTAATACTTATGTTTGATTTGACGTCTTGATATATATATGTTTAATATTTATGTTTGATTTGATGTCATGTTTTATATATGTCTAATCCTTATATTTTATTTGACGTCATGAAATTATCATATCTTTAAGACATTTATGTTTGACTGAATTAAATGAAATTCTATATACCGTTCAGATATTCTGTTTTCTACATTTAACGGTGACTTATTAATTGGATATAATATCTATTATATTCCTTAAGCGTTAATATATATATATATATATGTGAAGATTTGATCATAATGAGTAAAGTTGATAGTATGTTTCTCTCACAATAAATTTCTGTTATTATATTTTATAAAAGTCCACCAACTCCCTAAGTATATCCGGAACATTTGGTCCTTCGAGCCGGATACTTAGGTGAGCCAGATATTTATGTAAGCCGGATTTTATATGAGAACTGGATAATTTGGTTGAATTGGAAATACCATCAAAGGATTAATACCACCGATAATCTATCTTCAAGCATCATGAGGATTTCTCACGTGGAAGCTCGCATCGAGCAGCAGATATCTTTGAGTGCCCTGATCTTTCAAGCAATTGAAAGCTTCAATAAAATTCCAACGACTGACATCACTTCAAGGCTGATTAAAGCTCGTGTTACAGCTTTAAATGAGAATTGGGAAAAATTCTCTATTGTTCATGAAGCAGTTATTGTAGCTGTCAATCAGCTCAGTACAGAAGACAACGAGTTGATTCGAAATCACACTTATTTTGAAGAGGATTGCTATGCTCGAACGTATGAGCAATATCTGGACTCTCTGGACAAGATGAACGCTCATCACGACTCGGATTTTACTATTCCAAGGACATCTTCAACTCAATCTCTCTCTCAACCTGTATCTAACCAACTGGCTGTTTCTCATCACACAAGACTCCCTCGAATCGACCTGCCGAAATTCAGTGGAAATGCTTCCGAATGGATGTCCTTCAAAGATCTATTTTCTTCCATCATTATTGGAAATATAAGCCTAAGTCCGGTCGAAAAGTTGCAATATTTAAAAGCCAGTCTGACTGGCACTGCAGCTTATCTCCTCAAGAACACGGCTCTTACTGCGGATAATTTCCAAAAGGCTTGGACCGATCTGATCTCGTTTTATGAAAACAAACGACTACTTGTAAATTCAGCAATTCAATCGTTGCTCTCCCTCAAGAAGATCGCGAAGGAATCCTCCAGTGAGCTCGAGCGTCTTTACACCAACATCATGCAAATTTATCGCTCACTAGAGACGCTACAACGCCCAGTTGAACACTGGGATGATTTTCTAGTGTTCCTAACCGTTCAAAGGCTGGATGCCGAATCCGTTAAAGTCTGGGAGCATCATCTCGGTTCCACAAAAGAACCTCCGACTTGGAAACATCTGTGTGAGTTTCTTGTTACTCGCCTTCTCTCTTTGCAGGCCTTTGAAAATTCGCAAAACTTGCCAATAAAAAAGAAAATCCCATCGCAAGCAGTTAAGGCCTATCATCAGATTCAAAAGAAAATTAATGGCTCACAATTCTCCTCATGTATCGTGTGCTCTGCCAAACATTTCTTGAGCGTTTGCCCTCAATATACCTCTCAAACTACGCAGCAACGACACTCTCTAATCACAAAGCTAGGATTATGTTACAATTGTTTGGGGAAACATCGAGTTTCAAAATGTCAATCAACTCGACGATGTCTTAAGTGTGGTAAGAAGCACCACACTACGATTCACCAAAAAACACCTCCCAAGATGGAAAGTCAATTTAAACACCCATTGGTTAAACCATCCACCGAAACTTCAGGCAAGACCACTCCCTCGCAAGTATTGCATGCCGCTGTACATGCTAATCAGGCGTCTATGTGCACTCTTCTCGCCACCGCTCAAATGTTAATTGCCAACGAAAATGGACGTATCATGAAGATCAAAGCCCTTATAGATCAGGGATCGGAGATCAACATCATTTCGGAAAAAATTGTCCAAGCTCTCAAGCTTCCTCGCTCCAAATCAAGTATTTCCCTGATAGGTGTCGGGGAACATTCTACTAACAAGACTCGTGGCATCACTTTTTTCAAGATTATTTCTCTCCATGATTCATCAGAAGAATTCCACATATCAGCGCATATTCTCCCTAGCTTAACGAGTTCGATCCCGTCAAGTAAAGTCTCCGGAGAATCCTGGTCACATCTGGATGGATTGCCTTTAGCCGATTTTCAATATGGAATTCCCAGTTCGATTGATCTAATCATCGGTTCCAATTGTTACCCTCAGATCATTAAGGACGGTTTAATCAAAGGTCCGCCGAATACGCCTATTGCACAATTAACCTCGTTTGGTTGGATCCTCTCCGGCCCCGCTTCATCGGAATCGACGAATCGTTCTATGCGAAGTTACCATATTTCAATGGATTCCCGCTTATATGACCTTCTCCATCGTTTTTGGCAACTTGAAGAAATTGGTGCACGCCAAGAATCCTTCATCTCCCCGGAAGATCAACAATGTGAGCAACACTTTAAAGATACCCACTCTCGGAACGATCAAGGACGGTATGTGGTGCGTCTGCCCTTCAAGAAGCCTCCTCAACGTTTAGGAAACTCTTATAATCGAGCTTCAAGAATGATGGATTCTCTGCGAAATCGGTTTCAAGTGAACGCAAAATATGCGGAAGCCTATTTCAAATTTATGAGGGAATATGAAGACCTCCAGCATATGAAATTAATAACCGATGTAAATGAAGAACTTTTACCTCCCAATTTTTATCTTCCTCATCATGGAGTGTGGAGGGAGAGTAGTACAACTACGAAACTACGAGTCGTGTTCAATGGATCAAGTCGTACAACATCCGGAATTTCTCTAAATGAGATATTGCATACAGGCCCAAAGCTTCAAGTGGATTTATTCAACGTTCTTATTTGGTTTCGGCAATTCCAATACGTCTTTTCTGCTGATATAGAAAAGATGTATAGGCAAATCCAAGTACACCCCGACGATTGGAGATTTCAACGCATCCGATGGTCGAATTCAGACAAGGATGTCAACTCTTTTGAGCTCACCACTGTTACTTATGGATTGGCTTGCGCGCCTTATTTAGCGCTTCGTACCA